TTTTGCCAAAAAGATTTAATAAATAAGGTATTTCATTGGAATACTAATTGTATCGGAACTCCTGACTTCACTACCTGTTGATCAGTGATTATCTCTCATCCTCTTCAAATGCTTCAGTTTAGGTAATTAATCAACCAATCATTGGGGATTCAGAAGTTTCTGAGCTCTTTGTGGCCCTGATATTCTTGACAATTCTTAAGTCTCCATTGAAGTATTCGTTTGTTAACTTAAATTACCATTAGGTAAATTTCTAATAAAGTATTCGTCTAAAAGTTATTTAATTGTATTGTTTCGGCACTGTTTGGATATATCGTATGTGTACCATGTATCATTTATAACAATGAAGCTAGTACTGTCTCCTAAGGAATCCTCCTAAAGCTGGTATGACGGACAATTTTTTAACTATACAGCGACTTACGCATACGATACAGCAATCCCAACAATACATAGGAACTATACTCACATCTCACAAACTTTATTTATTTATTTGATTTTTTTTTGTTGCTTCTACCCAGTAGGATCATTGGCAACACCTTTGATTTACACTCTGTTTTAGAGTTTTATCACTTTTAAAAACCTTGAAGTTTTTTTTGCTGCACTTTCACTGTCTTGTAGGTTTTCTTTTAGTAGTTTCTTGTAGTAGGTTCTCTGTGCCATGTCTAACTTTTTCCTTGAAGGTTCAAATGTAGGGCATTCTTGAATAATGTGCTTTACTGTCCTTTGGACATTGCAGTTCTCGCAGGTCGGATAATCAAGTCCTGTTAGTAGGTAGAAGTGTGAGAACTCACAATGTCCAATTCGTAGTCTGCAAAGTGCTGTCTCCTCTTTTCGAGATGGTCGGTGCGAGGTTTCCCATTTTAAACAGTGGGGTTTAATTTCGATTCTACTTGTTTTCACTTGTTTTGCCACAAACTTTACAACATCATCTATTTGAACTAAATGATTGGTCAAATATTAGGAAAATTCAACTCTATCACATTCGCTCTTCAACATGAAACTAGTCTTTAAAAAAGTTGAGCCTCAGGCTACGACTATTAATACAACGTACGCACTTCTTTTATTAATAGTAAAACAGAAACTTAACAGCTACACTTGAATACTTTAGCCCATTCGAGCCAACGGTTTACAGCTATATATCGGAAGGTTTACTTTCTTCTTTGCTTCGTCTAATTCCATGGTCAGCTGTGCCGGCCTAAGAGCAGGCTAAGCCGGGGATTTGTCCAGAGTGCCGAGCTAGAAGTGCTCATCACTTATTAGAAACTAAAAAATAAAATACAAATCGTATGACAAAAAAATAATTTAGCCTTTTAATAAAGCTAATTTATACTTTAGTCTATGCGCAAAACGCTTTATACATTCTATATTTACATGACCAATTTTCATTACGTTTTTTCGGGTACCCCTTTATAGAGGCAGTGTGTGCCCCAGTAGGGTATACCTACAAAGGGTCGTCTAACAGCCAATTAACTAAAATGAGTTCATGCATTTTTCTAAATTAGTTGAATGCATTAGGTTAGTGAAATTGATTAAATTGAGACATTCGTTCCTATTCATAGCTATTATTAAATATATAAAACCTTATTAACATTAAATTAAAATTACCTAGAAGATGAAATGTCATTATATCGTTAAATAGCGACGAAGTAAGTTGATTAAAATATGTGATCCTGGGAAATTGGTATTCGCAAACTCCACAACCAAGTTGCTCATAATTTCGCAAGCTGTCTTACATAAATGCTAATTAGCTAGCACTTTATAATACACACTGAACTTCTTCAGAACTTGAAGAATACTGGGGACTGTTCGCCCTTCTTGGCGTAGTGGCAATTAATAGACTTAGCAGCTCTAGCTCCTCAACTTCCCATCAGTGCTTGAGGATCTTAACCATGGAGCGCTAATCTGTTTCCAACGGAGTGTATGAAAGTTAAATGATGATAAGTTGTACGTGTGGCGCTTACGAGAAGACCGTAAGATGAGCCGCAGCACAGATGGTCCCACGACCAGGCGGGCTGACAGCCAAATATGTTTTACAGCCTCGCTGTGCCCAAGGGGTTTGTAACTCGCCTCGCTAGGTCGTTATTGAGATTCAGTAAATTAAAGTCGTAAATATTTACAACTTATATATTTACAGCTTGGGTGGTTTTATTTATGAGAGGGACAGGCGCAAATGGATTATATATTATATTCATAATTATAGCCTTAATCGGCTCCGGTATAAAACACTGCTGGCAAGACCGTTGACAGCTGCAAGTTCACATGATCACACAGTGGCCGGAATCACCAAAATTCATGAGCGTATCCGAGTGTATACGAAAGAATTATAAGAGATTTTATATGGAGATTTCAGAAATAAAAATAAACAAAAAAGTAACATATTATTACACAAAAGAAAAATTAGATGTTATAATAGAGTGTTTGTTCTACTGTAAGCTACATATTGCGGATTAGTACGACTCGTTCCATCAATAATAAATTAAAAAGAAAATGGCCCGGATATCTGCTGCTTCATCAATAAGATCATTATCATTAATCAGTTAAATAAAGCCTGCTAGAATGAGATACCGCGCAATTGCAAGTGGAGTATAAAAATGAAATAAATATTTGCAGAAATATTTTAATGAATATCTGTCATTCAATTAAATCCATCAGCCACTTAGCCACACTGTTTTTATGGAAAAGGAAGAGTTTGAAAAGGCAAGAAGACAAAAGGGGAATAAGTTTATTGGCTAAGGGTGAAATAAGATGAAGCGAGAGGAAGCAGGCTCCCTCCATCAAAGTTTCAACAAGTAACGGCTCCGCGTCGATTCCGAACAGCCTTCGAATTAATATACCCCTTCGCTCGCTAATCTACTTACTTTTCACTTTCTTCGTTGTTGGCTAACTTATTGCCGAATTGAAGAATTACCTGAAGTCCTCATTTTCCCCAAGGATAGGGTTCAAAGGTAGATAATGAATTTATTTAAAGAATCCACAAATCACAGACAATTGTGACATGTATAAACATTGGAAATAAAAATGTATTTGATTCATTACAAAAAAAAAAACTAAGGTGTGTGTTCTAGACCACACGATAAAAGTAAAAATATCAAAAAAACGAGTTTAATAATATGAAATATAAATTATAAATAACTAAACATTTCTCTCGCATACGGTATGCAGGTCCGAGTTTTAGTTCTGAGATGTTTTAATTCATTCCTTCAATAAAACTCGTTATCATTTGGTTTCCGACAATCTTTTTTCATTTTTACCTCCCTAACACGGCGTCACGTTAAGATATGATTTTGAATAATGGCTCATTACAAAGAGGATGAAATGATTTTCCCCGCTAACATTATGAAAATGTGTTATTGAACTTAAATGTATTATTGAACTTTAATAATACACGTCCGAGGTTTATGAAATGATTTCCCTAGGTCCGATTATTAGTTTTTGAGATATTTTAATCTATATGAAAAAACACTTCAATTAGCCGACTCCAGCCGACATTACCGGAGCGTTCATCGGAAATCTGACGGCTCAATCTAAACAAAACACCCTCCACAAAAAAGTCCAGAACACGCTTAAAGAAGTTTTTACTTAAAAAAAAAGATAAATCATCCCACAATGAAAGTACAGTTCAATGGAATTAACTCTAATGCATGAATCTTATCAGACTTAATGGAATTTTTCTAACACATTAGTAAATCGAAATAATTATATATGGTGACTCCAAAGAACGAATTATCCTTAGAATTTTTCCATTTATTGAATTCATTACAAGGCTTCAAGCAGATTTTCAAGGTATCAAAATTGTATAACATAAATCTAACGAATTTCTTAATTATAAAATTCTATTGCTACTTTAAGTCCAATAATACAAAACCAATATTATACAAAACCAAAATCTCTTATCATTTTTTTCGCATTTAAACAAATGTATGTTGATTCCGAAAAACCCGATACTATACAGTCTCTCCTCCTCTATTGTTTAAATAATGGAATAATTATTTTTTATCGTTTACAGTTAGAACTTTCTAATAAATATCTGTTGAGAAGATGATTTTTAAGAACAAAAAATTCTCTGTTCTCTAGTTACAAAAAGGTCTTGAGGCAGATACATGAGTAGATCAAGCTTGATTAATAAAACTCAACCTTAATATGAAAGAGTCTAACATTAATGACTAATAAACTATTATGGTATAGCGGACAGCCACCAGTTTAGACCGGGTTTGGTTTGAGAAAACTATTTCATATAGAAATTCGTTTGCAGCCTTATGTCATTTCATCTTCTGGTTATTTTACTAACCAATAATTGGCTATCAGTGAGCATTGTTCTGCCTATTATAAGCGGAGATTTTCAGTGTTTTCAATAAAATGTGAATGAAGTTGAAGTGTTTGGTTTTCGACCAAGAAGAATTGGGGATAAAGTTCATTTAATCTCTTATACGCGATATTTCTACATATTAATTTCATTTTCTTATTACCAAAAAGTCTCATAGGTAGCTCATTTTTATCTATTTCGTATATCTTCGACTGCGACTGCAGTACATCTCTCTCCTTTATACTGATCTCTTGAATATATATTTTTAGTTTTCTATATTATTATTTAGTCATTAATTTGCATTTATTATATTTTATTTATTTATATTTTTTTTAAATAAGGTGTGAATTTTCTCGTTATAACTATTGTCTCTATCGTGACATAATATTTTATTACTTAATAAAATAGTTTAAAAAAATAAAAACAATAACTATCTACAAGAAACTTTTAGGTAATTTTACAATAATTAAATACTGGCACACTTTCCATAAATATCATAAAAATTAAAGTAAATTAGCTATATAATGCCTATGGATAAACTTTTAAGCTTACTGGAGTCAAATGATGTATAAACCGTTAACGTTTATTTTTAACATTATGGAAAACTTTACGTATTTAAGTATTATGTAGATATATTTGTTTTAATTCGTTTTTTTATGTATTAAATTGATCAGAAATATAATATTCTGTTCAAGGGTAGGAGTGAAATTGCTGGGCAATTGGTTCAGCGATGCCTCACACATCGAGACCTGAATCGATTCAACTTGAACATATCGACAAGGGGTCACCTAACGGACTTCTACACGCAGGTAGTTATTTTTAATCATTTTATTTTTTATATCACTATATAACACACGTTTCTACGATAAATCACACTTTAAAAAAAATACCGACTACTGTTATATTTTCGTTTAGAGGTCAGCTTAGTTTGAACATAAAGAACTTAATAATTTAATCAATATTTTATGATTAAGGATAAATATTGTAATATAATGATAGTTGAAGATATAAAATAATTTATAGTCTCACAAAAAACTTTCTCTATTCACAATCTTGGTAAGTAGGAAAGTTCCTAAACCTTGATAATTATTTGATCCACTGTGAAATTGATAGTTCAGGAACTTTATTTACAAGATATTATTACAAGATTTATTAACTTTCAGACTAACCAAGATTGTGAATAGAGAAAGCATTTGTGAGACTATAAATTATTTGATATCTTCAACTACCATTACAATATTTATCATTAATCATAAAATCATGGTTAGTAGGAAAGTTCCTAAATCTTGATAATTATTTGAACCGCTGTGGAAATGATAGCTCGAAGAGCAAAAGGGTGGATGTTGATTATAGGGGAAACCCGATTAGGTCATTATAAAAGGTAAATTGAATTTTGGAGGCTAACAGAATAATTTAATTACGGTCTTCTGAATCTTTTGTTTAGAATATTGAAGAAAGAGTGTGGGGTACATGATTTTATTCGAGTGGGTGATTTTATGATATCCATATATATTTTTTCGTTAATGTATTTTTATTTTTCTCTATAATTTTTTTTTATAATCGTGGATTGTGATTTATATTTGTATTTTTTTAATATATTTTGCATATTTCCTTTTGAATATGCCCTCGGCCAGTGGAAGGACTTTGTTATTTGTATATAATTGTATTGTTATACTCATATATGCAATTTAATTAAATAAACTTTTTTGGGGATCAGAAAAAAAGAATATTCTTTTTGAATATAGATTTTTATTTATATACTATTTTCTTTGTTATATTTTTAGTAGTGCAGAAAACATTTTTATTCAGCAATGTATGAATTTAAGCTTGAAGTTTATTGAGTCATAAAACATTTAAATTAGAGAATTTAATTATTCGCTTTATATTAATAATCCTTGAAAAAAAGATTAGTTTATTACAAACCATTGGCGACATGCTAAAAAATAAAATAATCCCATCAGATAAAGTTATAAATTATTATTTCAACGATAAAAATACTGAAAATTAAAATAATTAATATTAGAACAATTTTTAACTTTCAAATAAAGTTTTTAGTTTATAAGAAACATAAAAAAAAAGTTCATGTGTATATTTGGCTCCTTTGTTCCAAGTAATAAGTTAGTTGTTGCTCACATTTTGATATCTTTCCATCCAACTTCCTAAATAATTTGCCGGATTATACAACCTTTGATTGTAAATATGCTGTTTATATTTGATAATGTTACTACTAAAATTTTGGTGATTAAGATCACTTTCGAAATAAAAAAAAATTTAGCAGTTATTGTTACGTCATAGGTATCAATATAATTTTTTTGGCTATAAAAAAATTATTTGCGCCTGTCAACTTCCGTTAGTAATCAGCAAATGTGCTGGAAATACTAGACATAAATGTTATGTCAAGAATGGGGAAGGAAAGTATTCATCAGCACCTCTTCTCTGACTTGTTTCAATCACTTAGGTTTTTTAAGTGATTCCTCCTCCTCGTGTTCTGGAATATGTCAGCTGAGGCCATATGATGACCTCCTAAAGTAGTGTAAAATCGTTAGTTAACTGTCGTTATATGTTGGTCAACTGTTGGAAGGTGGAGGTCAGTATGTAGAATTTTGTTAGCTCCGTACTATGGTGCTTTTGTTATGAGCCGCAAGAATTTTGATTGGAAGGTTTGAAGTTTTTGTTGGTGAGTATTTTTAGCAATACCATATATCTGTGATAAGTACGTCCATATGGGTTTGAATAGCTATGTACATGTATTCAGTTTCTGCCTCAGTTTCATTTTTGAAGATTTAGGAAAAAGAGGCTACAGTATCTTGACTCATTTGTTAAATATCTTAAGTTTCATTTTTACATGGGGTTCCCATATTTTTTGTCATTCTGTCGAAGGTGAGTCTAAGATAAAGTACCGTGTCCGTTTGAGGAATTTGATTGTTGTCAATATAAACTGAGGGGCAGGTGTTTTTTAAGAGTAAACGTTAAATGTATGGATTTGTCGTGAATATGTAGAATTTTCCATAGTTTGAACCAATCTTGTAATTTAAGTAAGTGATGATGCTGTAGGGTTAGTGAGGCTTGTGTAGGGTCTTGGTGTTTTGTATGAATATTTGTGTCGTTTTCATAAGTAGCTGTCAATGTCTCATCGTTAATAGGCATTTTTCTTAAAACTAGATTTATTGACTTTAAGAAGATGTCAAATATCCAACAGACTACCATTAATAACAGCCTTGAAGCGAACGCAAATTGGTCCTTGGAAGAGACAGTAACAGGGAGAGGTTGGAGCTGACTCAGGCTCCATGGAAGGAAACTCATTAAAATAGGAATTGGATAGTCTTCGATCGATAATCTCCTAACACGTTCTACCGAGGGTCTGAGGCTGAACCGAATATTTTAGGGCTGAGGACAATTCGATTGTTAACTTCACTAATATCGTAAGTGAAAGTTTTAATTTGAACTTAGGTAAAATAGTCTTTACTTTATTAAAAAATGGCGAAATTTAACACAAATTATTTACCGGATAATGTTATACTGTGAACGGAAAAGAAAAAAGTAGGAAACGTGAGTCGTTTGAGTAAAGCATTGGGTATAAAAAAAAATTGGCAACATATCACGTGACATAGGTCACTTGTTAGTAATTTTTCTTTGTCACGTTCTGTCCGCTAATTGGAAGGGACCAATTGAGCTATGGGGTACGACGATGTTACTTCATAAGTTGCAGGGTAGATTTACTTGGGTATAAATGTCACCAACTTTCTCAGCTCAATTGTAAGGAAAGGGAAGTCAAGGCAACGTCTGGTTTAATGGAGCAATTCAAACATTTAATAAATTTCAAAGTTAGTTAGCGATGTTAATACCAATTTATGATTATTTATTAATAATAAAAAATAAATGATGAATTTTTAGAAATGTATTATGCCGTAAAAGTAATTCCACTCATATATATGATATACTTGTCTTTCGTATTTGTTAGTTGCAGTGAAGATGCTCAAAATTGTATAAATAGATGAAAAACATATCGAATGTATAGTAAATTTTAGATTGGTGAAGAGTTAATCTAATTACAAATAATGATAATGAAGAATCAACTTCAATGACTAAAAGTGGTTATCAACTTATTTCCAACATAGAAAAAGTTAAAAAAATCTTGGAAAAGCAATATTTTGTTTGAAATTATTTAATTGAGAAAACTAGTATATTTAATGTTATTCTTGAGTTAACAAGTACACATCATGCTATTGAATCGCTTTAAGTTTTCTCTAATGAAAAATGTGTTCAAATGCTGCAGTAGACGAACAGAATACTAGGATTTTTTTTCAGTGAAATTTATTTGTAATAATATAGAATGATACGTTTCTAGATTTCGTAATGATTAAAAAAGGAAAGTAAGCAAGATAGGACTGTAAAAAAATCATTAACGAAATTTAACATACAAATCACAGACAAATTATATTAATTTCTGAATCAAGCTCAATATTTAGCAACGCCTCTCCCAGTTTTCCCTAGATATTCTCTTGAATCATCGTTCTTGGCTTGTTTCATCCATCCATGTCATCAGTTGTCTTCCTCTTCTTCTTTTCGCACATAGTTATCATTACTCTATCATCTGTTTCGTCCATATTTTATTATCCATCCGTTGGACATATCCAATGCCATTTTGCTTTTAAAATTACCTCTTTAATCTTCTTATATTTGGTTCAGTGCTTCATATTTTCTTTTTTAATTATATCAATTTTTTATTCAGTATACTCTCCATTTTTCTCTGAGAAAGTCGATCTACATAACTCTTTGTGAGGGGCCATGTTTGTGATCCAGAGATGAGGGTTGGAATTACTCATCTTTCAAGAATATGTTTCAGATGTGACCGAACGGGTAACCAGGAGCCCGTAAAAATTGTTCGGTAACCAGATGACTGATAAACCGATTTTTAGAAGACATAAAATAACTACGAGTTCGCGTCCCGGCGCCGGGAGAGTTTTAACTCTGGCATTACCCGCCCTTGACCCCTGGCCTGGGAAAACCCCGTATAGCCTAAAAGGCGAGAAAAGAAAAGACCAAAAAAACAACAACAAAATTTTAATTATTTATTAAGTAAGTTCACACTTTCTTACCAATTCTCACCTACTCAAGTTTATCTTGGACTTTCGCCACAAAACACAAGACCCAAATTCAAGCTATGGAGATGCGGTACTTAAGAAGAATGGAGGGAAAAACTAGGAGAAAAGTGCGGTAGAGGAGGAGGAGATTAAATAACATAAATTTTAATGAGAAATGTTTTTTCCCAATGCGATCGATATACGCTTATCGATTTCCTTCTCGGTATTTTTGTTACCGAAGATTAGCATGCCAAGATATATAGTATCTTCGACCAGACTACCTTGTTTTCTTGAATAGCTATGTGTTCTTGCGTTCCGTTTGGTGAGCAATATTAGGTTTTGGTGATTTCTTTCTTCAGTTCTACATTGTTGTTCTAACCGTAAAGTTCAACTATCTTCTCCTTTAGTTCGTGAGCAATGGCAGAAATTACCACAATTAACAATGTGATTTTAGGCTACATGTTTTTCCATTTATATAAAATCCTTTATTTTCCCAGTTAAATCCGAAAAATTGATAGATGTAGTTGAAGAAGCCGAATCTCCGTCTCTCACCTTTTTCTGTATGGTGGTTCTCACCTCTAAATAATGGTCCTGTTCTATCCCATGCTTTATTGCTGTTGTCGCCTTAATAAGTTGTAATATCGTATTTCGTAAAGGCTTTGGTGTGAACTCTTTGCTAAAATCATTTATTATTTTAATCAATCACTTGATAATAAATTAATTTA